AGCCGCTGACCCCAGGGATGCAGCGCCCGGTGCAGCATCCCGGGGCGAAGGAGCGCGGAAAGCCGCGGAGGGTCGGGAACAACCGGCCGCGGTTCCCTTCCCTTCCACTGTCCTGTCCCTTAACCTCCGCACGGGGAGGGATCCCGCGGAGTTTTATAAAGCCTCCAGCTTCTCGGTGCGAGGCAATCGCGCAGCGTCTAGCAGCGGGGCAAGAGGGCACAGACTCAAGCTCTGCCAGGGGAGGGTTAGGGTGGAGATTAGGAAGAGATTTTTTACGGAGAGAGTGCTCAGACATTGGAATGTGCTGCCCAGGGAGGTGGTGGATTCACCATCCCTGGAGGTTTTCAAGCTGAGACTGGATGGCATGGTCTAGTGACCACAGTAGGGTTGGACTCGCTGATCTTTGAGGTCTCTTCCAACCTGGTTGATTCTATGATTCTATGAAGGGAAGTCCTTGTCCCTCCTGCCTCAGGTCAGAGTAACAGGATGTCTTTGAAAATCCCTGCAGAAAGTTAGCTCCAGCGTGACCCAGAGTAGGAAGTTCACGTATAAACTATAGTTTCAGTTCATAGCATCAGATAGATATGCACTGTTTCTTCAGCAAATAGTTTTTGGATGTTGACGCCGAGCTGTTGGTACAAATACTTTGGAAACTGCAAATTTAGAGGAAAGTTGTTTTTTTGGTTTTTTTTGTTTTTTTATTTAGAGGAAAGATACTTTCCTGCTGCCGTGAAATTGGAAAAGGCCTTTGGAGAACCACGTGTTGAACAGAGAGAGATGCTCACAGCCCCCTTGATAGGAAAGCACATGTGCAGAGGTGGCTGCAAGAGCACACACGGGTTGGGTTCCTTCCCTTTGGGGCTCTTTTGGTTTCCTTGGGCTGTGGGACGTTGCTGAGCTGCTGTCGGCTCACGGCGCTGCCTGTCCAGGAGAGGAGCACAGGGCTAGTCCATGAATCACAGCTCAGTGGGTATGAGTTAATCCTTCTCAACATGTTGTGTGTAGATCAGGTTGGATTTAATGCCTTCAAATAAGAGCCAGGGCGTAGCTGTGAAACGAGGAGGGTGCTCCCGGCGAGATGCCTTGCGATAATTTCCTGCCGCCGTTTGTCCGTGGGTGTGTTGCGTGAATTCTGCAAGGAGAGTGTTCTCATACACCCATATAATGTCAGCTATAAATTGAGTGTAGGAACAGGGAGCAGCTCTGGCTGCAGAAGTTGCGCAGCACTGAGGGGTTGTATTCCTCTCTCAGTTCCCAGAGTGGCTCCTCTGAATTAAACTCCTGGAGTTAGGATCTTGTTGTAAAAAATGTTCTTTGCCACCTCTTGGGTGCTGTAGACTGAGGCCTGTAGGATGCACCTGTAGGCACATCTTGGGCTAGCAGATCCTCCTGCACATAAATGTGAACCTCAACAGCTCAGTACAAAAGGATAAATAAATGCGTTTTCTTGAGAATATACTGAATTGGAACATAAAATGGATTATTTTTGTATTTTTTGCAGAGTTCTGTGTTCTCCCCCAGTCCTGTTCTCTCCAGCTGCCCTCCAAGATTGTGTCCCTTATCCTTTGGCGAAGGAGTTGAGTTTGACCCTTTACCACCGAAGGAAATAAGGTAAATATTGTGTTAAAGTCATCTCGTTTTGAAGCAGTTAGAGGACTTAGCACGTAAAGGAGCAGTTAGGCCTTATCAGTGCCTGTGAGTCAAGTTAATTTATTTGCAGAGCTATTGTTCACTGCAGCTGTACATTCCTGGACCTGGACATTTGTACAGGCTGAAGGAGTGTTCAGCCTCTTTTAATCCCACCCATATGGTTGGTTGTAATTTTTTTTTTCCAGGAAAAATTCTTGCATTTTACTCCCCTGCTTTTACCTCCAAAACGTTGCCTTTCAACTGATTAACCAGAAGGTAATCATGAGGGAAGAGCTTCAAAGATCTTCCTGGAACTGTTTTATTAGGGGAAAGGAATTTTGCTCTTGTAACCTCATGGTTTTATAATAAGCACTTTCTATCTTAACAGCTGTGGCTGGTTGTGTGAGCTAAAATAAAAGTTAATATTCAGAGGAGTGCATAATTATTTTTTTAATGCACTGCATCACTTCACGGCCTGTGAATTATTCCTTTGAACAGCATGATTTGCAGTAATGAGAAATGAAGGCTCCCAGTTGATGACTGTGCCAGCAGAGGTAGGCTGATAAAATCAAACAGAAGCCTAGTGCAGGGGAGGGTAGGAAGAATTATGTCCTGGTGTGAGGAAGGAGCCTGTGCCGTGGCTGGAATTGGAGGCAGTTAGCTCTATGAAAAAACAGAGTTGTTGCAGTGTGAAGGAGATGAAAACTTCCTTTTGCAATCCAGGCACAGAGGATTTTCATGCCAGCAGAGCTGGGTGTGCAAACTGAAATATTTTCCTGCCAGTTGAATCTTCAGAAGTTTGTCTTCAGAGTGCCCCGTGCAGGGAGTGATAGCAGAGAACTCCCATGTGACTCGCAGCAGAGCAAAACTGAGAAGATAACATGTACTTCCATGGCCTTGGCACTCTGAGGAGTTAGGATGTTTATGTGCAAAGCCTAAAAGTAAATCTAGGCCTTTGGGTTTAGGAGTTTGACGGAGGTTTGTCAGTTCACTGAGCTCAGGATGGACACAAGGATTGAGAAGGTGTTTGCTAGTGCTGCCAGCTGAGCTAAACAGTGATAATGCTGTGAGTGCTGCTAACACAAGGCTCTTTTTTCTCCTCATAAATGTGCAAGACACCAGCAGACATTTCTTGTGTGAGTTGACTGGTTCAGGGCTGAGGCACGCAACACCTCTGCTTTCCAGAGAACACCCAGGGCAGACCTTACCCACCTGTCTGCTGTATTTCAGGTACACATCCTCAGTTCGCTACGACTCAGAGAAGCACTTCATCGACGACGTCTACATGCCTGTGGGCTTGAGTGTCTCCTCCTGCAGTCAGACAGTGATCTGTGTCCCCAACTGCACGTGGCGCAGTTACAGGTCAGAGGTTCACTTCGAGCCCCGCAACAAGCCCCGGCGCTTCACCAGCACCACCATCATCTACCCAAAACATGCCAAGACTGTGTACACCACCAGGCTGGATTACAACTGTCGTAAGACCACGCGGAGATTCCTCTCCAGCGTGGAGCTGGAGACGTCGGAGTACCTCGGGAACGATTGTGGCCTGGATGGTTGTTGACTGCTGGTTCTCTCTCTTTGCTCTGATCCATCCCGGTCCCATCTAATGTACTGTGCTAACTCCACTAGCTCAAGTGGGTACAGACCCTCTTTCTCAGCTCTTAAAATTCCTGCTTTAAGCATCAGAATGGCCTTGAACGCAGTTTTCTGTGGGAACATAACTTGTTTCTTCGCCTTTAAAGTCGTGGGTTCCCTCCCCTTCCCCACAGTGCAGTAATCAGATGAAAGTAACGGGAAGTGTTTTCCCAGAGGAAAAGTTGACAGGTAAGGAAGAATGTGGAATAGTGCCTGGCAGGTGGAGGTCTCTTTGATGCTTTGGAGTGATGTGCAAAAATAAGGGCAGTTCACTCTCTTGCAGAGAATCTACCAGGTCGTTACAGATAGGCAGAGCTGTTGGTCATTTCAGTTTAGCTCGTGAGATTGTTTGCCCTAGAAGAATCATCTCCTGGAAATTGCTGGAAAAAGCTAACAGAGAAAAATCTGGAATTGAACAGATACAAAAATGTTACCTTATGGCATTCATGTCTGGTTTGAAGGTGTAAATTGGGAAGAAGTGAAGTTCTGACTAGGGCCGGAGATAAACTGCTTTGGCAGCTCCAGGCAGCAGAGGAAGGGTCAGGTAATTCCAGTTCTTTGGATGAACTGGGTGATGTATCCTCTGTGCTCACAACAACTTCAGCAGTGCAGTTGTCTGTGGGACACACTAGCCCTTGTGTGCATGTAGTAGGACATGTTAAAAAGAATATCAGGCCAAAAATTATTCCTGTGTTGTTGGAAAGTCGGAGGTGGAAAACCACTAGTGCCTTGTTTTCACCAACACTGAACTGTTCTGCACTAAGGGAGCTGCAACCAGGCGAGTTTCAGACCATGTGCTGCACACAGGGCCTAGAGTGGCAAAGGAGGTGTTGGGATCAGGTGTGAGATGCTGTCATGGTGGGGGTAGTGAAGAGGTAGATGGTAGCAAAGGACAGGCAGATTTTTGTTTTATTGCATAGCAAAACCCACAGCTGCAGCTCTGCTGCTCCGCTGAGCTTCTCAGTGCAGAGGTCTGTGTCCTGGCTGGACTTGGGGATGTCACTGGGATGGGGTAGCCTTTGCCTGTCTGTAGGCTGCTGAATCACCCCTCCAGTCCCAAGTGTGTGATGAGTTTGGGGACCAAAGGGAATAATTTCAGATACTATGAAAGTCTGTCTGGATGTTACGTGCGTTAGTTTATCGTGTGCTTTGATGAAAATGAGAGGGAGAGGTTTCCTTCTTCTCCCAGATTTCTGTTCCTCTATTGACAGAGCACAGTGTAGTGTGGAGAGCATCTGCTTTGGGTAGCATGGGTTGTGCTGGTGCCTTGTGTGATGTTGCTGCTCAGAAATACCTGGTAGACTTTTCCTAGCTGGACATAGCTTTTCCATGTATTCCAAAACTGCTCCGAGGTCAACACCAATCCTGGAGCTGCTTTCAAAGAGGACTTGGCTAGTGCATAGCCCCAAGGGTGAGTTTTGTCAGTGGTGATTAAACCTCAGGAGGCTGTTCTTGAGCTGTACTTAACGAGTGTTTGTGCAAGTGTGATGAGTGGTGTGGAAGTGAACTCCAGGGAACTGGAATGATTTGGGAGACAGAGAATGCAGCGGGAAGGAAACCTTGAGTTTGTGTGCTTAGGATTTTTAGTTACCATTTTTTTACTTATTTATTATCTCAGCATAGAACATCCTTAACCTCTGGCACTTACCTCAGCAAACAATCCCAGGGTGAGAGGACACAGTCAGGTAGGGAGTTAAGAGCAACACAACCTTATCGTCAAACACGTTGGTTCCAGACTACAATATTGAGGAGATGTGTCTTAAATACATGTTGCAATTCTCCCCTAACCATTGCCCCTAGATATAGTTGTGGTGTAACAGAAGGCAGAACTTGCCCCAAAGTGTGTGAGGTTTCAAACAGACAGAGCTCCTCTGTGGGAAAGCTGTTGCACCATCGTTCGCTTCGCCGTTCCGTGTACCTTGCTCCTGAAACATCTGGTGCTGGGCACTGTTGGACACTGGAGGCTGGAAGAACATGGACTCTGGATTACTCCAACAACGCGCTTCCAATGAGTTCATTTGCAAGAAGATTGTTTGAAGTTGTAATCATTAGTTGTCCCTAGTTAGAAATGACCCTTACGCTATGGTCTTAGAGTAAAGCACCTGATTTTTATAAAGCAAGTCAATTTAATTATGTACCTCTTATAAAATAATTTAATTGGTAGAGATACCTTTTAAATGATTGATGTTCCAACATTTGCAAAGCTCTGATTAGCTCCGTGCAAGTGTTCTGATGTCTGGGATGTTTCCCACTCCTTCCTTCTGATTTTCAATTTGTCTTTTACTGTATTGATAATAAATGATCTGAAAACCAGACCTTGGACTGGGTTGTCTTTATTTTTCATTCAGAGCTTTTATTGTAGTTAGGAATCAATGCATAGTATGTCCTGCCAATCCCAGCTCCCCTCCTTTCTCCTCGATCCTGTGTTGCTGTTGTTTACATATTCTAGGAGGGTGTTCCCTATATAAAATTGTCTGTATTAAAAAAAAAACAAACCCAAACCAACACCAAATGTTGTGGCTTTGTCAGTTTAGTAAGACATTGAAAAAAGTGCTCTGAAGACAGCTGAAAAATCCCTTCCAGTACGTGTTTGAGTCATTCATCTGGTACAGCTTTATTTTTGAAAGAGTTTTGGGATGGATTTATATCCTACAAGTGAAGAACTTAGCCCTTTCAAATATAACACGATTGAACCAGGCAGGAATTTATTTCGAAGCCATAGATACTCGAATGCTACATGAGTAAATGCAGCATAAAATTAAGGCTAGAATGTGTTATGCATTAAACTTATCAAAACAAAATAGATGGTTATGACCCATTGTGTTGAGAGAAATGCTGTAGTATTTTTCTGGATGCTTAATCTGTTCTTTCAACCCTTCCAAATTTGCAGGCGTGCTGATTTCGTTAGTAGGAGTGGATGCAATTGAACATCAGTTAATTAATTCCTAATGGGATTTTTTTTTTTTTGCTTGGTTTTTATTGTTCATCTGGTTATCTGCTTGCGAAAGCTCTAGAGTTGCATGTAATGACATTATTGGGAGCTGGGGAGCTGTGAAGCTGTTCTGAAGCACAGAGCTGCTCCTGCAAAGCGTTTGGGTATCCTGCAGTGTTTAAAGTCTGAAACAGGAAAAAAAGAAAAAGCCAAATATAAACATCAATTCTGTATAAAAGAGTCTATTTGAAGAGCTATTAAGATCAAATTTTAAACATCAGAGCTTTCGTGGGAGCTTCAGGGGCAACTTTCTCTCCTTTCAGATGTTGCTTAACTTGCAAAGAATTCCCTCAGTATTAACACTTAGCCTGGACTGGTTTTTCCTTTAATATTGTAGTATGAAAAGTGTATGAAATAGTAGTAGTATTCATATTGTATGAAATATTCCTATACTGTAAGAAGTTGATGGAGGGGAGAACAATGCAGCCAACTGCTTGATGTGATTTTTAACTCATATTGACCAAATGAGCTGCTAATTGCTCCCTGTGATACCAAGGATAATCCTGTTGTTATGGATGTTTCCCTCCTACATATGCCGTGCTTCTCCAGAATGTCACAACTGCTGATACAACGAACTTTTATACCAAAATAAAATAATGAACCTAACAATTGGATCACAGGGCAGGAGGTGAGGGCTGGAGTCCCATCCTGATTTTGCAGCTTGCTCAGTTTCAAGCAAGGTAAGTCCATATGCCTGCAAAGCATTTCAGCCACTAAAAAAGGTGTCCAGTCCCTCAGCTGTCCATGAACCAGCAAAGCTCAGGTGTCATGCAGTGAGTATTATCCCAAATCAACTAATAGGAATTACTAAGGATCCTCCAGGACAAACACTGCACTGGAGGGGAGCAGTGCTGCTTTTTGCCTTTGTGATCGTGTTTAGCTGTTGAAATGATAGATGCTGTTAGCAAAAATGTAAGCATTGCCTCTGAGGCTTTCCTGCTCATTTCATAAAAAGAAGGATGAGACAACTGCCTGCTGTGCCTTTACGTGGCTATTAATAAGAAACTAAATCTACAGGAAAATATTAATGGCCCCAAAATCTTATTTTTTAAGTGGGAAATATATATATTTTTTTTCCCGATTGGCTTACACAGCGATTCTCACACCTGTAAAATGTATTTATTGAGGCTGTTAATGCATTAATAGCATTTCTGAACTGGCATCAGGTTCACTGTGCTTGCCTGTCTCAATTTAGGCAGGAAATTGATTCTTAGTTGTTGGGGATTTTGTTTTTTAAGCTGTTCTCCATTATTACAGCAAACCATGTGATTTCTTTTTTACTAATCCAATTTCTGGAAACTTTCAGGCACCTTTTGTGCTAAGATACTGGGAAGGGGATGGAACTATTCCTTTACATGGAAGGTTTTGGGAACTTAACCTCCCATTTCTGTAGCTCTAACAACCACTCACCCTCACTGATGGGAACTCAGACCAATGCCATGATTCACATCCATGGAACGGTGGATAGTTAAACAAATATACTGTAGCTCACCAAAAGCAAAAACCACTAAATATTTACAGCATCCCAAGTCTTAGGCAGTCGAGGACATTTCCTGCTTCCTCACGGATGTCTTATGCCTCCTACTGCTGATGTGGTGTAGTTACATGTACTCAATCTGGATAGATTTGTAGCTCTGTATGAAACTATAACCAGACTAGAGGTTCAGAGAAAGGTTTTAAAGCACCACAGATAGTTTCCTGGGGGAAGATGGGTTTTCTTTCCAGCTTACTTGCCCTCAAGGTAGTGGTGGTGGTGGCAGTTTTGCATGGTGGCTTCTTTCTCCATGGTGGCTTCTTTCCCTGTGGTGGCTTCTTTCCCTGTGGTGGCTTCATGCCAGGCCCTGGTGGTGGATCCTGGGCAGCCCCTTGCCCCTTTTTGCTGGCCCACACTGCTCTGCTGCTGGTGTGGTGGCTCCCTGTGGTGGCTTCATGCC